CAATTTTTGAGCTCGATTGATATTTTGGATTTTTTAAATTCATTAGCCTTATGTATAAGGACAATCTAATTAACTGAACTTAAAAAAAGAATAATCTTTTGGAAAAAACTACTTAGGTATATACATAAATGTGCAGTTAAACAACTGTATAGTTCCAAGTTTTATGCCATTTTCTCACGTACAGGTACTACGTATTTGACTTTCAACTCGTTTTTGGTGTTTACACAAGCAATAAATCAAAAAGGCCGCTCCGTTGCTCGAAAATTAGCGAAGTTTGCTTGTTTAAACGCCAGGAAATGCTCGGCCTAAGCAAACACCGTCCAACTGAGTAATTACGACTTTGTATGCACTTCGGACAATTCTCGCATTCGCATTACGATCAAGTTAGAATTCGTGTATAATTTTTACTAATTTTCATTTAATTTCACAAGTATAGATGTAGGTATACTTCGTTTGGTTTCTGTAGAGATGTGACCTTCAGTTTGACCGGCGCAAAGTAGAAAAGAACAGCACTAGGCCAGAAAAGAAAAGAGACAACTCTCGGCCAAACTCTTAACCGGTGAGGAGCGCACAATCCGTACAGCACTGTATGGAAAAATTGATCATTTTATCCACTACAATTGCATTGTTCAAATGTGCTGTTATTAGTACCATTTACTAGTGAAAATATCAACGAGATGTTTATTTATATTTGAAGACATATTAAAGGCTTTCACGCTTGTTTTCGACTCGCACTACTATTCATGATTGAACAAAACTTTTGGCAGGTACTGTATGAAACAGTATGTTTAATGAACAAGAGTCGAGAGTGTAATGAGCTTTTTTTCTCCCTACCTACGATTTTGCCAGCGCGCATCCAAGACATTGAAAGAGACACATCCCTAGAGAAAGTAAACGAAGTATATTTCTTAGCAGGACCTTTTTGTAAGATGTTAATAAAAGAGCAAATTTATTGGTTCTATAATACTAATTGCGATCAAATAAATCAGGGACGTATTGAGGACGCTTAGCTACTCTTCGTTGAAGCTGAGGTGCAAAAACATTTATATTTCATAGTCCTCACTCCATAAAATTTATATCTTCGACCTAATTACGGACCTTATACGTACAAACGACATCCGCGCCCCACATATATCACCATGTGGTAGTATGTAAAATGTTAGTTGTTAAAACTCGTATAACCAGTTAAACCCATACAAACTAAATTAATTTTGACAAACATTTCTACCTTATTGCAAAATACTAAAGATAAAATAAGTACAAAAATATTTACTGTTTAAATAATTGGACCCCACCTAAATAAAGTAACCTTCATCGCTCAGTTTTATAGATAATATTGAAGATTGAAACGTATGTATAATAACAGTTGTAAGAATATAAATTTAAATCCACCCATGCTTAGGTCATACGATAATGCTTAAGTAAATAAAAAGTGAAAGAAAGCTAAAACTACGATAGATGTCGCTATATACATGAGGGGAACAACAAAATTTCTTAATATAAATGGAATTATAAATAGTTCAAAAATATGGCATATTATAGAGATAAAATATTGCGATACTTATTATCACTGCAGTTGCAAGCAGTGCAAGTTCACCATAATGAATATAAGTGATAACATGGTAATTAATTGTAGTGCACATGTAATTGTAAACATAAAATGTATAATTAATAAACGACACCCGTTATCCTAAAGGTTAATTTTGTTATAATCATGAGAAAAAGCTATAAAATGTACAATAAGTGTTGTACAATTTTAGAACATTATCATTTCATTTAATTTATGGATAAAATGAAGTTAAAATCTTTAGAGGTAATTATAATTATTTGATATTCCACATATAATAGTTATATTTAAAATTCCAATAACCTAAATCGTAATTCGCTCTGGCGATAACGTAAAACAATTTTGGAAAATAAGAAGATAGAAATAAGCCTAGACTGAAAATTACTATTAAGAAAAAATTTTATATGAAAATTGGAAATTTCTGCTTCTTTAGTGGGTTTATAATATCCTTTGTTTCACCTTAAAGTCTAAATTTGTCTTTAAAAACTCCTCGATTTTCCGCAGATAATCATACATATATCACAAAAGTGTTTTTTTAGGGTTCTGTACGTCCGAATGGAAAACAGAACCGTTATAGGACACTCGGCTGTCTGTCTGTCCGTTTATTACAGTCAATTTGCTCCGAACCGATTTAATACACATATGAATTTCTGTGACCCAAACACGGACGCATAATGTACGTAAATTAATTTTGAACATAGGGGTCATTTTTGGAAGGCCAATAGGAAATTAAAAAAAAGTTTTGCAAAACTGTACTGTGTGACATATCAAATGAAAGGACTTGTTGTAAGGGTCTCAAATATATTTATAATTTTGTAATTTTAAAATAAATAGTTTTAAAGTTACTTAAGAAAATATATGAAAATTGACCAACTACTGAACCTAAAATATTGAAAAAAAAAAAAAATAAAATAGTTCTTTATTTGTAGATTACAGGGAAATAGAAAATGTGTCTGTCTGTCTGTCCATTTTTTTTTAACATAAGGTCCACGCATTACGTGAGTCTTCCTCCTTATAAATTCTGTTCGGGTTTAAGTTTATATGCGGAATAATGCCCCTGACTGTAATTATTTGGCGGGACTTCAAGTAGGAATTTATTTAACGCTCCTTATGTTATATATGTCCTATTAGAATTTTACGATTCATTAAAGGCGAAAAATCAAAAATTCGTATTAATTAAACTACCGACAAACCTATAACAAGCAAATTCATGTAAAAAACCCTACACGAACATACAACGTTATTAGACGCAACGCATCGAAATCATTCAATTACCGAATATTTATCCTTTATGAGTTTATTTACTTTTACCTTCAGTCTGTCGACGATTTTATTTTTACTAATATAAAGCATCCAATAACAAAGTTCAACTGACCCACTGACATTACGTTCAATTGTTTTAATCGATTGTGTGTAGATTATTTCAATTATTTATAAGAGTATTCTGTAATTCTGAAAGCGTGTTACGAACATTTTGTAGACGATGAAACATCTTGTTAATGAATGAACACCTCGTGGATACCACATACGGTAAATATATACATTTGTACATACATGTGACAGATGATATGATGCATTTGTTTTTTTAATATAATAATTAATAACATTTTTAGAGAACGATAACCTCGGGCGTATTCGGGCAATGAGTAGAAACAAATAATAAAGAAGCACAATTACCGTTTTTATCGCGTTACATGACACGTTCATATCACTTTTAATTATGTGCTTACTATGGTAGATTGCAGTTCTGGTTGTGATTGCTGTTTTTATTTTTTTACATAAACCTTCTGACCCGAATAAATGTGCTGAGTTTAGCACCAACCGCGGGACTAAGTAGCACCATTAGAAATAATGTTTTGATACCAACGTTAAAGAACTAGTAGTTATTATTTTGCTTTTAGAAAATTGAATTGCAGTAGAATTCGCTTATAATAAGCATTAGAATGAAGCAAGCATTCATACCAGGTGCTATCTCGCTCGCATGACACAAGAAAAATTTAATTGTATCTGTAAGACGATAAAAAGTAGCCCGATACGAATATATTTTTCTGAAAGGGTTCAGATACAGCCTTGGATGAACAAAAAGTATCCGAATGCTATATCCGGATAGTACCTACCTCTGATAAGTATGTCATAATTAGAAATGTGCAAAATGGTTTTTTAAAAGTATTTAAATACAAAATGCAAATACTTTTTTGATTTGTTATTTCAAATGTAAAATACAAAATAGATTTCCCTTTTGTATTTGAAATGCTAAATGCAAAATACGTATTTTCAAACAAATACTTTTTTGTAGTACCTATTTAATTTTCTAGGTTGACTTAATAATAAAATAGTTTGAAAGAAAACCTTGCCGACATTTGCTCATTTTTTAAATATTGGAGTTTTTCTAGACTAATAGTAGTGTTTTCACTATATCACCAGCTGCGAATATTGAGTTTGATTTATATTTTTCTGTTTGATGTGATTCAGATATAGGTTTTCTATCCTTCTGTTATAGTTTATTTAATTTAGCAACAAATAATTCTCCTATATCCTTTCTTATTTACCTTTGTCACTCGTTTTAATTGGAAAAAAGACACTGATGCCAAAATAATTTGTTTACTGTGAAAGATCAGAGCCAAAATAGGGTTGCAAATAATTTTATTGATGTAAAATCAACATCAATCATTTTATATGAGAATATTTACAACCCCATTCTGTTTCTGATCTTTTACACATTGTGACAAGGGAAAGAAATGGAATCCATAGTTTCTTTAGCTTTGAGTTCATCTAATAAGTGAAGTTTTTCGAATCGTTTTCTAAGAATGTTGGATTATAGGCATTTATTAGGACACCACAATATCTTGTAGTTTTTAGTTTTACACAGCTGCGGTATATCAATTTGATATTGTTTTACGGGCTGTTTCATCGTAATGCATAGAATTTCGTAGTTCCTTACTAAAGGTACGATAAGCGGTGATTCGGCAGATGCCGATATCAATTTGAAACTTCAAAATTCCATGAACCATGACATTGAACCAAGAAAACAATATCGATCCAGTATTTTAGATTATCCATTTTCAAGGAATTTAGAATTCCTTGGGCTCTCTTCAATGAAAGAATTAGAACACATTCATACTCATGTCTTTGTGCCCTTTTTAAGTTTGTAATACCTTCAATGGCCAGTGTGAGCAACTTTCATTCATCATTTTATATAATATAATATATAATCGATGATACTAGCAAAACTTTTAACTTTTCTCAAAAAAGTATTTAAATGTAAGATAAAAATAGGTATTTTTTATTTTGTATTTACGTTTTAAATTCAATAAATCACATCTCTGGTAATAATCAATGCGTAGATTTACTTATTAGTCATTCCTAAGAAAAGCAAGTTTCCTAGTCAAAACCCAAAATTCTATTACATTTAAAAAAAAAATTCGTGACTTACCCAGTTTGATTAATTATGTCGTTTTGTTGCTGGATTCACCTGAAACAAAAGAACAGTTCATAATTTCAACTCATGTATAGGTATGTATAAAGTACGTAGACGAAGCGAATATCCGGTTTGGATCCTGTACCCGGCAGATTCGACACTTTTTTAGTATACGGCCGAGTAACGGATAATGACACCGGGTACTTCTACCAGAAAAAAAAAGAAACGACGAACACCAGCAATAATACTTTTATAAGTATAACAATAAACCTACTTAATGAAAATTGGTAACAAAAATTATAATGGGGTAGGTCATTTGTTCTATTTTGTGTTACGTATTTATTCATTACTATACTAAATTATTTGTTATTATATGACAATTTCTGCCGCCTTTTGTATATCAAGTTTTGATTAGCAATAATTTATTAGCGTAAATGGCATTTAATCCTGTGATACGTATCCTTTGTTTAATGTCTTATTTCATGTTGATTGTGAGTTATCTGACTATCTAATACATGCAAACTCGGCTCTTTTGACTCCCGAGTGCTCCCCATCGTTAACCAAGTAGCTCCTCATTGATCCTGCGAGTGCGAGTGAGATGATTCTTTCCTTTTCTTATCCCTTCCATTTCGTAGGTGAGTCCCCTCTTCCATAGCCAAACCCAATAGTTTTGCGAACGTAGTAACGAAAATTTTCGTAGGTATTACGAGGGTGGATTGATAAGTTTCCGGCCTAACCAAGAGATGACGCCACTAGGCCTACCTTGAGGTGACATTCTATAGTACCATCCTTGGATAGCTTGTAGCTATAGTTTCAGCCCGATCTCCTTGCTAGTGTAGGTTTGACAGCACGCTGAACAAGACGCCTCTGTGGTTTTCGTAAAAATGGAAAAGCAGGAAAATCGTGCTGTCATCAAATACTTTTATTTGAAGGGGTTAACGCCGAAGGAAATTAAAAAAGAGATGGACTCAACACTGGGGACATCCTCCCCGTCATATTCAACCGTTAAGCAGTGGGTTTCCGAGTTTAAAAAGGGTCGTGTGAGCACCTCTGATGGGCCTCGCTCAGGACGCCCCGTTGAGGTCACAACTCCAGATATGATCGAAAAAATTCATCAAATAGTGCTGGGAGACCGCAGATTGAAAGTGCGTGAGATAGCTGAGACCTGTAAGATGTCATATGAACGTGTGCAACATATTTTGCACCAACATTTGCATATGGAAAAGCTCTGTGGAAGATGGGTGCCGCGTTTGCTAACAGTCGACCAAAAATTGATTCGAAAAAACATTTCTACCGCAAATTTGTCATTGTATAAGCGTAATCCAAGCGAATTTTTGCGTCGATTCGTAACCGTTGACGAAACGTGGGTCCACCACTACACTCCTGAAACCAAAGAACAGTCTAAACAGTGGATTGGACCAGGGGAACCAACTCCAAAGAAGGCAAAAACAATTTTTTCGGCGAACAAGGTTATGGCTACTGTTTTTTGGGATGCAAGAGGTATTATATACATTGATTACCTTGCAAAGGGTAATACTATCACTGGTCAATACTACGCAGACTTATTGCAACGTTTGAGCCACGAGGTGAAAATTAAACGACCTCATCTGGCGAAGAAAAAAATCTTGTTTCATCACGATAACGCACCAGCGCACACGTCAATCGTTGCGACGGCTAAAATCAACGATCTAAAGTTTGAATTGATGCCGCACCCTCCTTACTCTCCAGACCTAGCCCCGAGTGACTATTTTCTGTTCCCTAATCTCAAAAAATGGCTTGGCGGTAAGAGATTTGCGGACAATGAAGAAGTAATCGAAGCTGTAAATGGTTATTTTGAGGAGCTTGACGAATCAGTCTATAGAGATGGCATTAATAGACTGGAACACCGCTATGAGAAATGTATCAGCCTTGGAGGAGATTATGTTGAGAAATAAAAAAAAAAAATTTTTAAAAACCTTGTTTTTCTTGGTCAGGCCGGAAACTTATCAATCCACCCTCGTAATACAAGAATGCACGTGTCTTAATGTGTTGCTTTTCCACTTCCATGTAAAATACAATACAATACAATAAGTGTACTTCGGACGATGTTCCGCTGATATATTATGTAAAAAATAATATTTTATTCTACGATACTACGCATCATGACCCTTACATCATTGTGAGTATTTTAATTACTCACATCAGGTCGTCACACTTGAAACTACATGTTGTATAACTGGAACAGCGACGGCTTTTCTACGAAAACATTTAAAAATTGTGGGAATTCATGGGAGGTGGGGTCATTATAATTTGGGAGTATATTTAGCAGATTTATAATGTGCAAAAAACAATGTCAAAAATTGAAAATAAATATTTACTGTTTTGTTTGATTTGCCTCGTTTATTTTGGTTACTAAATTTGTTTTGCAATAAGAAGAAGCTACATGGAGACGAAACAATTGTCGTTAAAATAAAATATCATGTCCTTTTGGAGCCAGTAAGTATGTAAGGTTAATTTGTACCAATAGAAAGCCAACTCTTACTAGGTTTTCAATTATAAGAAATTTTTATCAGATAGTTTGGCAAACGAAACGTTAGTGTTGGTTCTATATTGACGCAAATAAAACTTTTATACTCTTGCTGGCTCGGATTTCTACTCATATCTTGAGTAAAGGGACTGACTTTTGGGATTCTGGTGGACGGATAATTCCTCTGAACTAAACCGGAAAGTAGGGCAAAAAATTCTTCGGAATCCTTTTAGGAATCGTAAGAATGAGTGGTTGATATAGTTCAAAATTGGCATAGTCCACAAAAAAAACTGTTACATTTACATTCCTCTTTCAACTTACTAACTAGATTAGAGAGGTTGTTAACAGAACGCTTACTTTTACTAAGAAAAGAGATGCAAAGAAGCAGAATATGAGCATGTTGCCAGCTTCGGACTTTAAAGAAAGTTCTAAATTCCCAGGAGTTTAGGAAAACAAGATGCTTGTTTAAAGATATAATTCCAACTGGGCACTTATAAAGCCGACCCTGATCTTTTGAGTACCTAAGCAACCTCTAACCGTCGCACCGCGTTCTATTATTCGGTTATTTCATGTCACATTGTCTGTACTACTCATGAAAGATTTTCTAACTTAACAAGGACGTGATCAAAACGCAGCTAATGACTATAGTCCCAAGTAGAAACAAGAAAGAAGATACATCCATTCTCACAGATAATTTATTGCGGACTTATCCGAAGCATATGAGAAAGTTGATATGGACGAAATGGAGATATCTGTGGAATATTACTATCCCAGTATTTGATCCAAGAGGAGAAAACACAGAAAAACTTGGATCAGGACAGACCTAGCGAATTCTAAAAATGGTCTAAACCTCTAAATCTTTCGACCATATTTCTGAGTGAGTAAGGGAAAGAAATGGAAAAAGAATCATGTCTTTGCTATTCCTGACTTCTTAATGTGCAGAATACGCTGAAGCTAAACCATTTATAATCAAACTGATACCTGCCGCGGTGTAGTTTTGTTCCGGTTCCGTTTTTTCCAGGTCAGAGATTGAATGAAAATGGTGTGCTATCTACTGTATAATTTCATTAGTTGTTAAATTATTTCCTGCATTTGATACTACACATGATCTCAATCGACGTGCCACCACTGAATTGAAACCGCAATTGGCGCATCAGAAGAGATAATGACAAATAAAAAATGTTATTGTAAATCCATAGTACAAAGTACGCATGCTAGTTCCAGGAATCGCCTCCGATAAATCTGTATTACAAATGTATACGTAGCGTTAATAATATGCTTGATAACGTCGTTTCGTGAATAATATTAATTGGAAATTCCGCGAAATTGTCAATTTTTTAACTGACTCGATCAAAGTCCTCTCGAATATCTACGTCGTTGTAAAGGAATATCCTAGAATGATAATCCAAATGTGTGTCAAATAAACGAAAATATAAACATTGTTAATTAAATGAGAAAATAATTAATATATATATATATGTTTTTTTATCATCCAACTTCTATGGAGTAAACAAAACTTGAAGGCAACTTCCTCATCTGTAGTGCATTAACTTTTTATAAAAAAAAAAGAGTAAATAAAACAAAATTTAATAATCGGAGGCCGATTTTGTTTTCACCTTTTACGTTCCAAATGACGCTTATGACATTTTTTTACAATAGCTTCACCCCTAAGTGATTACAAACAGCGAAATGAACGTCATAGGGAGGGGTATCGACTTGTTAATCTGAATTCGCGCCCTCCACCGCTACGTGGTTGCAGTAACCAAATAGAACAAAAAGTTCATGGTGATTAGTATCCTGTCGGATGCGGATCACAATTTTGAACTAGTTGGTTACCACGTAAAGATAGCTAGAATATATGAAACGTCGTGTTTTCAAATTGACAAGTCTATATCTTTATGGATCTTGTCGAGAATTTTTGAAATGCACAAAATGTAGCTGTACCAGATCCACTGGTATCGGAATCGTCATCTAAGCTTCATGAATTCGACAGAATACTGATGAATTATGTCATTAGCTAAACTCTGAGCCATCTAAAGTGGCGGCTAATGTAATAAAACTTCCAGAAGACTTATAAGCTTACTTTGTCGAATGGCTCACATCTGCAGAAATAAAGAGGACAACCCTAATTTTATTTAGTGACAATGTTAGGGGCCATTAAGGCTTAGTAAGTTTATCTTTGCAACTGAAATTGAACAAAAATGTTCTGCTACCTGCGCACTTCCTATATTTCGTTAAAACAGAGTAGTGGAATTCCTTTGAATACACCCTTCTGAAAGCTTTTAAATTATTTTGTGCATTGTAGGAACAGGTATATCATCAACATCATAAGGTCATCAGTCCTAAGACCTTTAGACACCCACCTCTACTCTTTCCTATCCTGAGATAATCATCGCATTTCCCTAAAACTAGAACAACCCACATCCTTAACTACTTGCAAACAGTAATCTAATCTAGGCCACTCCTAACTCCCGTTTCTGCCACTAATATGTCTCTGACTAGACGTTTTACTCGGGATCATAATGTGATGGTTTCCCGTTGCCTTGTG